GTAGAGGTCTAATAAGCTTACCAGCGTATTCAATGCTTGTAATGCTCTAACCAAAGATAGCTTGCAAGCAACGAAACCGTCCACTGCACAGCTGCTGCTACACTGCTCTGAGTCCCTGACCTGCAGACGCGTGGCCATCATATTAGCAACATACAACAACATTCTGCGTAAGTTGAACTGCTGCATGTAGCCAAAATGTTAGCCATACGTGACGCAGGATAAAGACGCTTAGCAAAGGTAGTAGCAATCCTTTAGTATATGGAACCTACAAGGGCTTTGCGGAGACACAACTATAGCTTCACCAGCACGACCCCAAGGTATAGCGCCAAGGGCGGAAACATTTGAAGCCGATAGTTTGACAGGTTGCCAATTCCCCGTGCCGCAGGTCGGGTAGTACTAACGAGTTGCCATTTTCAGGATAGAAATCGGGTTATAACGTTAAAGACAGTGGATCAGCAATGTGGACCCTTCTCGAATTCTGGTGAATAGGTAGTAGACCCCCAAATGCACTGTAGCCCAAACCCCACCTGCCATGAAGTGGGCGGGGCTGGTGGAGTTTTGAATCGCATTTTTTAGGACTTAGCGCATAATTGGCAGGTGGGGTTAGGGCTACAGTGTACTTTGGGGGCACTACCACCCAAATCCACCAAAACCTGAGAAGGGTCCATTCTGCCGATCCACTGCATTCAAACCTCGTGACGAACTGAACATGGCTCACCAGAGCTATATATGCGCTTCAAAAGATAAATTCCACTGCCATAATGTGCATTTAAAATATGCTATGCCCAATAAATCGTAAGAAAATTGCTAAATGCTCAGGAGAAAGCAAAAAAGTTCAGAACCCAAAACCGATTGGAGATATGAATGCATCATAGAAGCATCAAGACATCTTTGCTTTTCTGCACAAGTACAGCGTAAAAGGACTGAAATCCTGCTGTAAACAAGACCTGTTGATGTAAAATTTTTAAACACATTTTTGAAGCCAATCCATTTCATTTGTTCACTGAGATCGCAAACATGTATTCAAAAGGTATAGAGGTTGTCGGATCTGCTGAATTTGTCAGAAGTGGTGGCTCTCGAAGATAACTTTGCTCCATCTATTTTGAAAGGGATACAGCCACAAAATTCTCACTAGCAAGAAAAGTGTCAGTCAAAATGGCCTTTCCGAATGAGCTCTATAACATTTTGTGGAATCAGATGCTGATTCTCTACAAAATGAAACCGTCCTTTCTGCTGTGCGCTTCTGGATGTCAGTCATAAAAGTTTTTTTTTTGAAGTGAACGCGCCACGGCCATCATTCGAAATCGTTCAAATATGAGATTTGGGTATCAATCACTTTGTGCAATGGACATTTCTGTCTAGTATAGTCCTACTCACTACTATATTCGAGTGTTGAAGAAACTGTAACAACAATTCTACCCAGACCATGCGTTCATTTTTCGCACCAAGAAACACCTCATAACTCGGTGTCCAGAGGGGAGCAGCAGATACTGAAGTTATATTTGTAATCAGCATTTGATTCTCTACAAAACATTACAGAGCTCATCCGGAAAGTCCACTTTGACTAGAAATATGTTCCTTGTATGATGCATCCCCCAGAACATTTCCCATATGAACCATCAACGTGGCTGTCTTTCAATCATTTCAACATGTTAACTTCGAGTAAGCGCTTGAATTGGCTGGAGCTAACGTGCCGAAAAGATTGAAAGGCAGCCATTTTGATAGTTCATATGGGAAAAATTCTGAAGGATGCACGATAAGTGGAGTTATTACCAAAATTTAGCTTGAACTCGCCAGTTCAATGCCGTCAGTGCCTCCTCGTCACGTTATGGTATATCAATGCTAGAATTTTTGCAATCGATAGCTTCAAAATCTACTTCTATGCATTTCCTTATGAGTTCTGATACCATATCTCTAACGGTTGCGAAAATATATTGCGGAATGAATCAAAGTGTCGGACAAAGGCCATGCCTGCAGCATACATGGGAAGTATAAAAGAACCAATGATGGCAGCTTTGAAGAAATCCAACAACATGGTGCACTATATATCACCAAGCAAGCAATGTGCTACATTCATCATAAGACATGCGCGCATCAGAACCGAGTCTAGGTGAACAAAAGGGGCTGGGAGGTTGGGAAGAACGATTGTGCAAAGTTCTATTAGGTTGTGTAATAAGTACTGTCCCATTTTTTATTTCGATTTTTTATCAATAATAATTACCCTACTTGAAAGAAAGTGTAAATGCTTTTGAAAGCTCTAAGTCCGCTCTGCAAAATAATATGCTTCATTTTTCAAATCAGCAAGATATTGAAAAAGAATATTGGCATCAGAAGAAAAAATCAGAAGAGGAAAAAAATCCATTTTCGACATCTTTCTCTCCAAATTTCCCCATTTTCCATTAATAATTTCTATTCAAAAACCTTGACGACAAACAGAACAACCTATTAGACTCTTATGGTTGTAATGGCATTGCTTGTGCTTGCTTCCTTCCTTCTAGCGACTTTTTTGCCATTTTTCCAAAAGTCGGCAGAGCAAAATTTCGCTGTGGCGATGTTCCTCGCCTTGCCTATTAAGCTGTGTGTCCCCCAAACATCGAATTCTCGAGTAACCAATGAATTCGATGATTTTATAGCCAAAGACGGTCCCTACTTTTTTTCTGGATTATCCGTCTACCTTCCTTTCTCAGGAATGCCTTCAGATGGCCAACGTCAACATTGAAAGGGCGTTAGAAAGAAGACCTTTTCTGAGTTTGAAGAAAATGTTTTCGAAACTTCTACACTTTTGAACTTCTGCAAAGCTATAGCATTCTTTCCTTCCGCTCAGCAGATTTTTCGAGCTGTTTTGTAAGCATTCTGATCTATAAACGGGGAGTGACTCAAATTAGTTGTCGAAAATGGACTTCTTCCTCTTTGTTTTCCAAACTTGACACTGCGAAACCTTTTAAATTCCATCGGTAAAGGAAGCTGAAGTGAAAATTTTAGTAGAGCAGTTTTGGAGCTTTCAAATGCATGTATACAATCTGTAAAACACTGTGCAAAACACTGTGAAAAAATCGAAAGGAAAAATGAGACAGAACTTATTACACAACCTAATAGTTTGAAAAGTACGAATTACGTAAATTTCTCATCAACACCCATCTTAAGCATTAACACATGATCCGACATTTTATATCAATTAATTGAGGCAACGCTCCGGCAAAGTGATGGGTATCGGGATTTTACATGGCTGCAATAGCAGACCTCCCCCCTCTCCCCCCCCCCCCCCCCACAAACTATTCTATCAGTGAAGTTTGGAGCAAAAAAGCGCGTCTGGAAGGCTTTAAATCCACTGCGGACGCCTACGGGACATTGCCTTTAAGCGTTTAGACCTTCGGTGTAGCCAATCGTGTCCTAGGCATACTAGAAACTGAGGAAAAAAACCAAACTCCCGCTTCAAACAGCTGTGTGGCAGCGAAATATGTTCCAGAAACTTTTGAAGATTCGTGTTTACAAAATTGTGAATGTATGTTTTCGATGATGGTTGTAGCTCAACCATTTGGCACATTCACTCGCCGGTAGACATATGAAAAAGGCGATAGTGATCCAAGGACAGCGCACCTTGTAGATTAGATTCTAAAGCCTCACTCAGCGCTTTATGTGGTCACGCTCCTTCCATTTCCATTACAATGTACCTACTCCTTTGGCACGCACTATACTGATCCGCTTCATCATTGGTCAATTGAAACCAATGGTGAAGTGGATGAAGTGGATCAAGCGGACAACCACTTCGCTACTGATCAGCTCACTGAATCGACCAATGACGAAGCGGCACAAACACATCACGTATGGGGCAAACCTTTCGCTCAACATTATCACCAGCTGCGAGTAACCTTTATTAGAGCAACCTAGAAAAGCAGAGAAAAGTTTGAACACCTCCAAATTCAAGATAAGATACGCAGATAAGCGCATCGCCGCGGAACCAGCGCTCATTACCAAAATTGATGACTCATATATGAATTATGATGCAGCAGGTTTGAATATTAGTGGTAGTCATAAAACCTTGACCCATGCAAAAATCTCGACAAATAAATGCCTGACTTCTTCGGACAGACAGAATAGAAACAACAGGAATAACGGCTGAACAAAATGCAGAAATCAGGCTGCAGACTCTTCCTATAAACAACCCTTGACAACACTGGAGTTTTTGTGTTTGCCGAAATCAAAAATGTCCTTCAAAACCATAGCGTTAGTTGCTTGGGGCTGACACATATCTCCAATATCTGGGTAATGCACCCATTATGTTACATACACCATCTGAACAGCGCTCTACTTAATTTGATCGGTCACAGTTAACTCTCAGCATTCCTTGGGTCCAGAAAGCGCGACGAGAAAATGAACTTCGACATTTTTAGTGTGTGCACAGTCACATACATATAACACTTTAAGTTCAAGATGACAGAAAACGACGAAGACGGGAATCGCAGTACACTTCTTTTGTTCGCTTTCTCTCCTCAATGATGCAGTCTGTTCGCTTTTTCAATAACACAATGAGGGAACGCTAAAAACACAGACCTATCCTTTTGTTTTGAAATCAAGCCTAGTCCAAACGAAAGCTATTGCATCATTAACCTGCCACATTATCGAGCTCGTAAAAGTTATTACTGATCGCATCTTCACGACTATTCGATATTGATTGACTAGTCAAAGGCAATTAGATGCAAACACAGGCTATCTATCCATCTCTACTACTTAAGAGCAGAAAAGTTTGCGCTTGCTTCAACAGATTCACTAGTGATGATTTTGATGATGAAAAAGCATAAACTGCGAAAACTATAGCGCAAGACACCTTCAATCGTCAAAATCCTTAAATCACTTAGGGAAGCGAAAAACAGATAAACATCCGTTTGCAAGACGGGTACAAACAATTTCGATATGGCGTAAGCTGAGTAAAGTTGGAAAAAAAAAAAAAGGAGGCTATGCATTTCAGATGAAGTACTGAAAAATTCAAAGCGGACACTTACAACTGTTGCTGTTGTTGAACGAACATCTGTTGTGGTGGATAGTACTGTTGAGGTGGAGCACGCATTGGAGGAGCTAAGAAAAGCAAGATAAACATCAATACAAGAAAAATTATAAGGGGTTTGTGTATGGCTTATGTGAGATCGCAAACACTCATTTCAGGCGGGTCTTCTAGCTAACGTCGACTCGTCTACGCTACAGTTAATGCTATCGATCGATCGAAACACAACGCCTATCAGAATTTGATCTAAATCTTGATCTAGACAAAAATGTAAAAAGTGAGTTTTTGTTGTGCATTCTAGTGCTAGGTAGGGGGGTTGGGGTTTGTTAATCTGACCATTGCCTGGCCTCGCCACGTAATGGCCGCCGTGCAGAATCGACATACCGTATCCCATTGGATGTATCGTTGTGCCCACCGGTAAACACATTCTAGAAGTCAAGACATTCGACAGTGAAAAACAGTTCCAAAAACGAGGAAAAAATTTTTGAAAAATTGCGACTAACGTGGGACTTGTTATATCATACTCTTGTTGTGGCGCAGGGATATTCTGAATAGTTGGGGTAGCAAAAGAGGGCTGAGGTGCGCCCATCGGCATTGAAGCAGCACCAGCATGGTGCGAAGCGCCAACATTCAAAGCATCTATAGAAGAAAGTTCAAGAAATTTCAAAAATATGCCAAGTTCAAACGCTTACCTTGAGTGTACGGCTTCCCTTTACCCCGTTCTCTGGATATAGCGCTTGACATAATATAAGTTTGAGAAACTGAAACATACACACTATATATGCAACACCACCGCTCTTCTGCCAATTTATCATTCCAATCAATACACGAAACCGTCGGGCAAAAAATTCCAACAAACAGGCCTAAAACTCTCAATCCACGCTCGAAATCCGCACCAAACCGCACCGGAAGGCATAAATTTCCAAAAGATGATACTTGGCTAGTGATTTCTTCAACGTAAACCATGACAGAACAGATCAAAACGATCATAACACTACGGTAAAGGAGTCGATACCAGAATTTCAGGAGCGATTTTTTGTCAAGTGGTCCTGGACGGAAAGTGGCTGCGCAATCTTGGCTCGTCGCCAAATTGGCTTCGGTCTGCTGTGGGTAACTCGGACGGACGTTAAACAATTTGGCATTGTGTTTCTCAAATCTGTGTCATTTTAGGGTTAGAAACTAATCCTGTTCAACCTTTCTTGTTGGGAAAACGCTTCCTCATTCGGCTCCTAGCAAAAACTCCATTTGGTTTCAAATACTTCTTCTTATTCATTGCCTTCAGAAGAATATTCAGACTAATCGCTCGGCATTAAGTTCTAATACTTCGCATTCCTTTCTCAGTACCCTCATGCGATCTCTTCTCGTGTGTGCGATATACATACCCATACAAAGATCTGAAAGCTAGAGAAGTTTGGCTAGGGGCACATGAAATCCAATGTGACAGTTTCACTTCCTCTAAACCAATTCTTCTTTCAGTGGGCTTTCTCACTAAGATATGTTCCATAATGGCTGCCTTGGAACGTTGATCCAAGTGCTTAATCTTTCAAAAGTTACTGAACGAAGTTACAAGCATGTTGGACTCAGGTTGCACTGAGGTTGCAGAGAAAGCCGAGTAAATGAACCTTCCTTCTGACTTTCTCACTGTATACTCCAGACCTTTAAGGGACGGGCATACTTGCATACTTCACGCGGTTTCAGTCACGACGCGATTTGGAAATATTCCAGCTGTCCGTAACTCACTGTAAGCACATTTTTGTACAGAAGATAGGCATTTTATCAATCCATGTAAGGTTATACACATTATGCATGTGCAGTTTGCTACTGTTGCATCTGAAGACTTCTGGCGAATTGCCAGTCGCGTCGCGACTAAAATCGCGTGAAGTATAGTTCATTTATAAAATCGTGACGACGGATTTTGCTGCGGACTTTGGGCCCACATAAGCATAAAATGCTTATACAAGAAGGCATTACCTCAAAATTCGGCTCAGTCATTTCTATTGTCTAAATATTATCATACGTAAGCAAAAAACCTTTCGACTGATAAACCAAGAAAATGCGATTTCCGGAAGTGGCGTGAGTGTCGCGCGCGGTTGCGCCATCGTCACGATTTTTCAAATGCCCTATATGCCCGGCCCTTTAGGCCCCGGTCAGACTTCACGCGACTTAATCGTCGCGACCAAATCGCCAAGATTTCCATTCATTTTCATTTCACATTCAAAAATTTCGGTCTGGAAAAGTATCACAACCGAATGCAAGTTGATCTGCATGGAATGATGTTGTAACAGTTGTCTCGTCGCGATTTAGTCGCGACGATCAAATCGCGTGAAGTCTGTCCGGGGCCTTAGGCATGCAAACTGAAGCATTCTGGCATTCATGCGAATAGGTTATAGACGGAAATTTACAGTGCAATTCGAAAGCAAATTATGCCTCTTTCGTTCATACAAATCTAGCAGATATGGAAGACCGTTTGTGATCAACGTTCTAAGGCTTCTTGGTATGTACATATCTTTTTGGAAAAAACCGACATAAAGCTTTCTTCCTGAGAAGGAGAACAAGTTCTCGCACTCGTTGAACATGGCGCTTTTGGAAGCGACATGGGTCACATGTTGAAGACGAATGTCGTCCATATGCTCCACCCTGTGCGAATACCTAGCACGTGGTTTCTTGGTGTATAGTGCACGGTTTGTTGCAAATATCCACCTAGATCTCTCTTTGTGGCGCGTAACGTTTCCTTGTCAAGAAACCACGATCCTCTCATTTCCTACGAAATTTTCTCTGGCAAAATTAGCCAAAGCGGTGGAAGCTTTTAGCGAAGCAGCCGTTACCCAATGCTTAGGCCTGGGATTGATCCTTCGGCTTGGCAAAGGCTGTACTTGATCCACTCCGGTGTTGGTCGGATCAGTGATTTGTCTAACAGCGCAAGTGGATAAAGGGATCAGATGATGCTTGTCTATTCGCGATGTACTGTGGCCGCTTAATCGCTAAAGGGAGGACCTTAATTCCTTTTCACAACAACAGCGTCAACTTTTCGGCGCTTAGTCTTCGCCAGAGCGAAAGTGTAGTACATACATCGCCTTTTAGCACCTTGGGTGGATGTATAAGTTGCTGATGTTTTCTTGACCCGGGATCATGGTGTATAGTGATGAGACTCGCTTTCTCATTTTTTCTCTCTTTTTGGGCCTTGAATATGCGCTTTTGATCGTCCACTGCAGCTATAAAATGACTACACTGCTAGGTTCGACCTTTCATAGGTGCTATAGCGCTGCCGATAGATGTGAGTGAGAAGTACTATGGGGCTAAAAATCTCATTTTGTGCTCTATCTATACATTTGTCGTTATCGCTCCATCATTGCTGCTATCACTGCTCTGCGTCTCTAATCGCGGCAGGAACGAATGGTTAGCTTGTTGCAACATGCAACAACATCATGGCCTCACTGATCTCTGCCAACATGTTGTTGCATGTTGCCAACAAATTAGCCATGCGTGTCGCAGTTTAGAGACGCAGAACCGCAGTAGCAGCAATCCTGGAAAGGACGATACGCGCAAATGGCATCACGAACTTGTCAGTTTGCGCGCAGTTGTTGCTGGCACCGCAGGGTCATTGTAATGATGTCGTCATCGTCGCACCAAGTGAGGAAACCGAAATTAGCTTACCAAACCAGAATGCAACACGATCTGGCAACAATAAACAACAAAATAACTTACGAGCAGGTAGAAACATGAGATTAGGTGAGAAGTAGAGTTTTTCACTCTTGTCTTTCATCAATCACATTTTCTTTTTTAGTCATATCAAATTGTTTACGTAACTGCCCCACAAATGTCAAATGTTTTGAATGAAGCCGCCATTGTCTGCTTTATGGACATGTGTAGTGTACGATAGTACAAGTGTTTTCGTAGCTGTATCAAGTAAAGTTCGGCTGAACTTTGCCTACGTGGACACACATTGTTGTTCTATGTTCTATGAGCTTTGGAATCAAGCGAAGGAGTGGAGAAACAGCGAAATTTTTTTGGTTATTCGCATCTCATCGTATAATGCCTTTTCCAACTTTTTCAATTGGGATGTCCTAGAAAGCTCATCACTCTAGTTTTGGTGGGTACCAAGTGATTGGGGGGTAGACGAGTTGTGGAATAAGGTTTATTCGCACGGGCGTAGATTATTCGAGAAGAGTTCGAGGTGTCCCGGTGTGGACCGGGGAGCAACCTCTAATACATTCGGAGGCTCCTTATATAGGAAGGAAGGCGGAGCTGAACCGAGTAAAAGGTGCAATGTACACGAGTTGGTGCTTGAAAGGAGGTGCCGCCGATTGGCTACACTCCTGGCGCACGGGTACCACTCACTCTTGAGTGATTAGATACTCAAGAGTGAGTAGCTCACAATTTAGCCTACGGGTATTCCGTAGGCTATCTAGAATATAGAGTTCATCAATGGTTGATGATACAGAAATCATCAACACTCCGGGCGAGCGAGAGGAAAGTGAGATCTGGTAAGATCCTAATTAGAGTGGCAGATACATGTGAAGTTGACTAGCGAATAAGTTAATACCTACGCATACAGAAAAATGAGCTATGAAGGAGGATTTGCAAGTAACTTGAACATACACACAAGAGTACAATTATTAACGTAAACTTATAAAAGCATCTGAAGTGATCGCTGGAGCTGGTGGGCGGTGGCCTGCTTGTCGTCCTCGCCATTTCCTCCTCTTCCACTTTGAATCGGTAGTTGCTTCGTTGACAACCATATCCTTGATAGACGGCGTTCTTACACGATGTATGTACTCATGATGTCTTCTCTCCGGTGTGTTCGTCATCCTTATCTTGGCTTCATTTTTTGTTAACCGCTGCGGTAGCCATTCTATCCCATATCGGGGGCGGACATTGGAGTTCGTCGTGGAACGTATTGTGGCCAACCAACGTTGTCTGTCTGCTCGAGCTTCAGCGAAGATGGAAGCATTGACTGTTGACCTTGTAAAGGTGGATTGTCGGCTTTTGGATGAAGAACATGGTTGTAGCATCGCTCGTGACGGAATCGTTCTCCTTTGGATTGTTCCTTCATTTTGCTTTGGCAATAATGGCTTGTTGCATGTTCGAGTGTTCGCACTGTTGAAATGAGAGTACGCTTTGGGTTTCTTCAATCTCTCGTTGTGTTGTGGAGTTGGGCGGTTGTTCCTCAGTGTTTTCTTTAGCGCTGATGTACAGCCGAATGTGCCGATGAATCTTGATGTGGTGATAGTGCAGCTCGTCCCTAATATAACGAATCCGAAGATGGTTGGGGTCAGAATGAGCCCTGAAGGAAGCTTGCGCACTCTGTCGTTGTGGATAGTGACGAGATTTAGGAGATCTTGTCCTATGACCATGTCGGGTGAAACGCTTTTGCAGGAGAGCGTATCTTGAGCGATTATCAGCTTTTCATCAGAGATAAAACGCAAGTCTGCTTCCGTGAGACTTGCTGTCTGCATGTCGGTAGTCAGCTTCTGCTTAGTGTGTACTGACAAGTTCTTGAGCTTTTCGGAGCTGTGAAGACTTTTCAAGGTGATTTGTACTTCAGATGAGTTGAATTGCTCTTGTTGCTCGCCCATCCCAGATGTAGTAAAAGAAGTAGTACTAAGGACTCCATCTCTAGGTGCTTGCTGAGCTCCATCATCAGTTTGTCTCTTTCTTTTTCCTCATTCCGTGCGCTAATGTACTCAATCGCGGAATTGATTTGCGTCTCTTGAAGCTTCACTGCGTTGTGTAGAGAGTTGAGAAGATTGGTTATCAGTCCCGTTTTCTCTTTTATGTACTGTTCACATTCTTCTTTCAGTGTGGGGAATGTGAAGGGGACATCAATGGTTTCAATTTGTGACTCGTGGGATTTCACGAGTTTGCAGGCGTTGTTAATCCTAATCTTGAAAAGCTGGAGCGATGCCATTTTCTTCTCTGCTGCACTGGGTAGAGTCGTGCGCTGGTGTGGTAATTCCAAGCGTTACAATTTGGAAGTGTGTATCCTCCTTGTGTTGATCGCTTTGGCTTGAGGGCGACAGCAGGGCTGGCCTCGATACGATAGCTGTCCTTACTGGTTGCAAGGAAGCTTTCTAGTGAGCTGGCAAGTGGGTGCCGAGCGTCTACTAGCTGTCAGCAAGCGCGCCTGGTTGGCTTGTACGCTGTACTGGACGGTAAGGTGTTGGAACCTGTCCCGTGAATGTAACGATCCAAAGCTCAAGATCGGTGAACCAATCGTGAATGAGCTTGGAAAGTTGAGATTTCTTTGCTAACTGTGGATGGACCAGTCAGTCAGCTAGAAAATCTCCTTGCTAAGCTATGGATATGACCTGATAGCTTCGCAAGATGAAACTCGTTTGTGAAAGTGGATGAACCAACAATCACAGAGTGTTTTGGCCAATGGAAGCCAAAAAAAGTTCGAGGATTTCTGTTGCTAACTGTGGATGGACCAGTCAGTCAGCTAGAAACCTCTTTGCTAAGCTATGGATGTGACCTGATAGCTTCGCAAGGTGAAACTCGTTTGTGAAAGTGGATGAACCAGCAATCACAGAGTGTTTTCGGCTACGGAAGCCAAAAAAGTTCGAGGATTTCTGTTGCTAACTGTGGATGAACCAGTCAGTCAGCTAGAAAAACCTCTTTGCTAGGCTATGGATATGACCTGATAGCTTCGCAAGATGACTCTTGTTGTGAAAGTGGATGGACCAGCAACCACAGAGTCTTTTTTGGCTAATGGAAGCCAAAAAGTCGAGGAGTTCTTTTACTAACTGTGGATGAACCAGTCAATTAGTTAGAAAACCTCTGCTAAGCTATGGATAGGACCTGATAGCTTAGCAAGACTCGTATTAGTAAAAGTGGATGAACCAGCAATTACTAGAGTCGAATATTGGCTAATTAGTAGCCTAGAGTGCGAGGAGTCTGTCGCTAACTGTGGATGAACCAGTCAGTCAGCTAGAAACCTCTACTAAGCTGTGGATAGGACCTGACAGCTTAGTAAGACTCTTGGTCGCGAAAGTGGATGAACCAGCAGTCACAAGAGTCGAATAGTTGGCAATAGAGCCTGCCACGCGGGTCTTAGGCCTTGATTTCCTGGGTCCTTAGAAGGAATCGCCGAGGAAATACAAGGAAAATCACTGGCCGATGCACCAATTTGGTGGGTACCAAGTGATTGGGGGGTAGACGAGTTGTGGAATAAGGTTTATTCGCACGGGCGTAGATTATTCGAGAAGAGTTCGAGGTGTCCCGGTGTGGACCGGGGAGCAACCTCTAATACATTCGGAGGCTCCTTATATAGGAAGGAAGGCGGAGCTGAACCGAGTAAAAGGTGCAATGTACACGAGTTGGTGCTTGAAAGGAGGTGCCGCCGATTGGCTACACTCCTGGCGCACGGGTACCACTCACTCTTGAGTGATTAGATACTCAAGAGTGAGTAGCTCACAATTTAGCCTACGGGTATTCCGTAGGCTATCTAGAATATAGAGTTCATCAATGGTTGATGATACAGAAATCATCAACACTAGTTAAACATTTGCCCGAGGTCACAATGTTAGGTTCAATATGTTTGAATTGAAATTGTTTTGTTCAATGGTTCAATTGTTTGAATAGCATTTGAAATAGTCTTTTCTACACCCTTAATCGAGATACATAATAGGCGCATATTTTTTTTGTTTACTGTGTCCTACCATATTTGGCTTAGGAAGCGGGCTCATAATAATGGAGAAAATCGCAGGATATTTATCAAAGCTCGCAAATAAACTTTGGGAAGGTTCAAATTAATAGCTACTCTGGCACAAAGTCATTTATCATTTCTACCGATTCAATTTTTCCATTTTTTTTAGCAGAGCTTCTATGATGAGAAACCGTAGAACTGGGCCAACCGAGCCCTCTCCCTTTGGGAAGATTTGTAACAGAGTAATGGAGGGTTTAGGAGAAAAAAAGCACTGCCTTGGTCATCAGCTGGCCCCCGCAACTCATTGTGAAGGCTCGCACGCATTTGCTCTTTCGACTATGAAGCAGAATGCGTTCGACTGCCGCCGAGGGTAGTCAAGACGCCGAATCCATTAGGTAGGCGCCATACTTGATCCACTTTATCCTCTTCGCCATTGGTAAAATAGTGAACTGACCAGTAGCGAAGTGGATCTAGTGGACAAGTGGGTATCCTCTTCGTTACTGGTCAAATCAAACTTTGAAGACACCTTCCACCATTAGTTGAGGGTCTTAAGCTTTTGGCAGCTTATGATAGTAGGGCCCCTATCAAGCCAATGCCCAGGTCGCGGCGCAAAATGTCGCTTCGGAAGCGAGAAAATTGTTTCGGAAACGAAGATGCACGAGGACCCCCAGACAGCACCGCCCTCCCCATCCATGCCCGCCCATCCCTGCGCGCCCATCCACTCACCGTTCTGGAGAGCCGGTCTGTGGATTCTCCGGAACGGGGATTGTCGGGATTTTCGCGTCTTTTCGGCTTCATGTTCGGAATCAGGGACATGAGAAGGCCCTGAAACGATCTGGAAATCAAGAATCTGGGTGGACGGTGCCTTCAATAACGAAGTGGATCAAGTGGATCAAGTTTAGCGAATGCGTCTTTTTTCGCACGCAAGGATTGAACGTCGTTGCGTCATCAAGATAGTTTGTGCATGGAAGAGACAGCAGACGCCTAGAAGAATGGAGATGGATTTGGAATTAGCGTAATATGCCCCTCAAAATAGTAGGTATCTCATCTCAAAAGGCCTTCTTCGCCCAATCTTCCCTTGTGAGTTTTAGTGGCAGCAACTGACTGAGTGGCCTCACCTAATGCTTGCCACAGGCAGCTCATGTATTCATTTGTGATAAACGAGTTGAGCTCTAAACTCTCGCCCGGTACCACGGTATTTTAAAAGGATCAGTCATGGCCTTGTGTCGCTGTCAGATAAGAGTTCAGCGTTGATTTTCTTAGTACCTACGAATAAGTTTTGTGAGCTAACGCTTGAGTTATGATGTGGTTGAGGCCTCCCCCCTTAACATAACTTGTCCGAGTCAACATATTTGCTTACATTCCACTTGAGCACCATCCAGATCTCTATATCTACTTTTCCTTTGTCTGTTTACTGTCTCAAATCTGTTTCATCGGTGTTATCACTTCATTCTAGCACAGCATAGTACTTAGTACTCTACTTCTTCTTTGTCCGTTTACTGTCTCAAATCTGTTTCATCGGTGTTACACTTCATTCTAGCACAGCATAGTAGCGCTTACAGCTACACCCACGATGGGGTTAGTAGGAAGCTGCATTCTCTCTGTAACCGATGGTGAGCGAGTGTGCAAGTTTTGTTATGGAGAAGACGATCAGGGTGGACGTTGGCTACGTCCTTGCATGTGTAGCGGATCTCTCAAAGTAAGACTTTGTATCTGTAGATTAGTATAGATTTTCTTGACTTGGCGTTCTATACAACGGTGGGCTGTTGTACCTTGCTTACATATTCTTAGTGCTGCGATGAGCTCTTTTGGAATGAAATTGTCACTCAAGTTTCAAATCAGTACAAACATGCTTTTGTTTCAGTGGGTCCATCTAAGCTGTTTCGACCGTTGGATGGAAAAGGCACCTGCTCAACAACAGATTCAGTGTCAGACTTGTCGGTGAGCCTTCAGAAACATTCCGCTTTTTTATTAGTGACGAATGACAGTGGGACCCAGAGGAGGCGGAAGAGAGCAGCCCCACTTCCTCTGAGAATGGGTCGCGAGAGAGTTATCTGCATGAGTCATAAAAATGTGCAAGTGGTGTGTTTATGCTTGCAAATAATCATAGCTAATATAACTTGTAAATCATTGAAAAATCCGAAAAAGTCCTGCGAGAATTTTGAGAGGCATTCACAATTTTGTCTCCATCTCCCGAGCGGAAATTTGATCGCTACCCACATAGGTAGGTGCCGGAGTAAGCGAATATTTTGTTCAGCTTCGTTCAGCTGCAAAAGGCACACAGATTTAACGTTGATTCTGCGGACCTGCAGCTGAAGCTGGCCTTGGCAGCAGTAGAGATTATGCAGCAGACATAATTCTGTGCGCCTTTTGCAGCTGAACGAAGCTGAACAAAATATTCGCTTACCCTGGCACCTACCTGTACAAGATATTCGCTTACTCTCGCACCTATCATAGATTGTAGTTGATTGAAATTGCCGTCATGTCTGCGTTTCAAACCTTTCGGTTTTCTTTGCGATAATTATCTGCCAACTTTAGGTACGTGTATGTGAAAACGTGGGTGTTGAAACCTTTCTCGGAGTGGTGTCGACCTGCTATAAAGCTTTCGGCTTGGGAATGCATTGAGATTTTCCTTGACACGTACTCGACGTATAAGTTCTTACGCGGATTTCTCTTGATGCTAGACGGCCAAAGGTAATTTTAAGATTAAGTTGAGTACTTCTATGCTGCAATCAGATCTAGTTACAGGTCAATCGTAGTGCAGTGCCTCCATTTTCTATTCTGGCGTGTCTTCATTGCTACCGATCGTAGACTGGCGTACTATACTTCATTAGGAAGGCAGTTGTTATCTTCGATTTTTGAGATTTCTGTGAAAGATTTTGTTTCGGAGAAGGAGGGGTGAGTCCTTTTCGTTAGCGTCTACCATTGTTCGTTTTATCTGTCCATTTTTCATCGGTTTCATTTGTGATTTTAGGACAGTTAGATTTGCTTATCACTCAGGGTTCAAAATGTTTTTTTTTTCGCCTGCTGTCAAAGGTATCACACTCTTCTGATGTGTTACCAGCTATGCATTAGGCGCTCGCAGTAGCTCGATTAGGACGCCATCATACATGGTACCCTGCTCGAACCCGCCTGTACCTGCAGTTATCTATTCGAAAAGATGCATATGCAGATGAAGTAGGCCGAGTTGGTAGTTTAGATGTACATTGCGAAACGTTCGCGTTCTCTGACTTCCGTTGCGTACCAGCGACGTTCGATGATCTGAGTGGAACACGCAAACGCCGCTGATAAGGCAGTTGCACGCCGTTCGTACGCTGTGGAACTCCGCTGGTACGCCAGGAGTATGCGCCTCCGTTAGAGGATCGTAATTTTCCCGATTTTTGGTTACTCTATTGATTGCAGCACTAGCTGATTGGATATTGCTAATCCGACAAATTTTATTAGGCCGTAATTAGATCAAAATAATCCATTATTTCGACTGATAGACTGAACGAAATTAGGGATCATGCCCACAACACTCGGCTGAATGCTGTCAGGTCAACTCAGTAAGAACATCTTAAATCTACTCCTGTCAAGGAAGTGTTAACTAGCTCCGTAAATGCTTAGACGGCCCAGCCACTGCGCCGTATCCCACGCGGATACTACCTGTGCCTACAGCGTGAGGTAATGTGATGGGACACGCCGCTCGCCTGCCTGCGTTGATAGGACGCAGCTCGTCGTCACAACGGTACGCCGCTGGTATGCTAAGCGCAGAGAACGCCGCTGGTACGCAACCAATGTCAGAGGTTCCGGGGGGGGGGGGGAGGGGGTGGGGGGATTTAGACGGGTATTGGCGGGTTCGAGCGCGGTTGAAGCCTGCCTTACGTGTTGCCTAAGCTTTCATGCGGGTGGAGGACTATATGTCGCCGAAAAAGGGCGGTCCCCGCGGTCATTTGCGACAAATACGCATTCTTATACATGCGCGGACATGCGTTCCTGCAGGGAATCCGCGCAGGACTCTTCCCAATCCGGCGACATATAGTCCTCCACCCCTTTCATGCTGGGAAAACCTGATGTAGATAGCACTCATAATAAAAACGATCTCACACAATGAGTATCAAAGCTGGAGCGTTGTGGACATAACCGATTTTTTAGAGGTGGTTGAGCGTTAAAGGCACCGCCCACCCAGATTCTCGACTTCCAGGTTTTTGTCGTTTCAAGGCCTTCTCATGTCCCTGATTCCAAGTATGAAGTCGGGAATCCGCGAAAATCCCAAAAAATCCTTATTCCGGAGAACCCACAGGCCGGCTTTCCAGAATGGTGATTGGATGAGCGCGCACAAATGGGCGGGCATGGATGGGGAGGGGCGGGCATGGATGGGGGTCCTCGTGCATCTTCGCTTTTCCGAAGCGATTTTCCCACTTCTGAAGCGGCATTTCGCGCCGCTACTTAGGCATTGGCTTGATAGGAGGCCCTACTGTTATATGCTGTCAAAAGCTCAACATCCTCAACTTAGGGTGGACGGTGCCTTTAATGATTTTGCGAGAGTGCGCAGCATTGTTTATCAAAGATGTAGGATATGAGCACTGATATTGTTATTTGATTACATGGGGATGTATCCCGCATGAGCATAACACTAGCGTTCTGACTAATCAAAGAACCTGCGAAAACCAGAATTCACTGCTGTCTATCTATCTGTACCATCTTCTATGCAATCGCCATAAAATACCATCTAATTGAGGAATGGCGCGGCAAATATTAGGTTGATGCAAAAATAATGAGCGTTTTTATTTGCTTGCTTTAACAAAGCAACCAGTCCCAACCCAACAAAGGGTAAGGGGTACTGTTCGATAGAGCAAAGCAAGCTCTACAAGATGTCACTCATGTCTTTGCGCCATGCTCGATCCGCGGAGAGTTCTAACTCAAAATCTAAAGATCTCCAAATGCCCAAAAAATCGAAAAAAAATCAGATCTTCGTCCAAATAATTTCTACGGACCTCCTACTCTCTCACATCAATACTATCGATACCTGATATCCATATGTGCGATTGCCGTATTTTTTCTTGACTAGAAACTGAGAAAACGAAAACTTCCCTGATTTTCTCAAAGCAATGCTGAGCCGTTTTTGCATATGTAGTTCTATACTACAAGCCTAGGTAAGCATAACTGTAGATTTTCAGCCCATTCCAAGCGATAGTTTTCGAAAAATAACGAATTCGGATTTTTTCGTTTCAGTTTCAGTGCTAAAATCGACATTTCTCGAAAAGTACCGCTCGAAATAGGCTGAAAACCTACAGTTATGCTCACCTAGGCTTGCAGTATAAAACTACATGTGCAAAAACGGCTCAGCATTGCTTTGAGAAAATCAGGGAAATTTTCGTTTTCTCAGTTTCTAGTCAAGGAAAAAATACGGCAATCGCACATATGGATATCAGTTATCGATAGTATTGATGTGAGCGAGTGGGAGGTCCGTAGAAATTATTTGGACGAAGATCTGATTTTTTTCGATTTTTTGGGCATTTGGAAATCTCTAGATTTTGAGTTAGAACTCTTCGCAAATCGAGCATGGCGCAAAGACATGAGTGACATCTTGTAGAGCTTGCTTTGCTCTATCGAACAGTATCCCTTATCCTTTGTTGGGTTGAGACTGGTTGCTTTGTTAAAACAAGCAAATAAAAACGCTCATTATTTTTGCATCAACCTAATATTTATTGGTATCGTTCATTCGTTGACCGTACGGACTGCCGACCGCGTGGCGACTGCGACGCGTGACTTCTAAACTTGCGAAAAAGTGACAAGTTGGACCGTGGCTTAAGATGAGAAGAATTCTTTGTTTCTTTTGTACATTATAAAGATGAGAAGAATCCTCTGTTTTCTTTCTATTCATATTTTCTACGAAGACATCATGCACGCGCAGCGGTCGCCGCGCGGTCAGCAGTCGTTACGGTCAACGAATAAACGATACATAACTTGAGATATTCGCTGCCACATCTTCTTGTTATACTACTTATACAACAAGTTTTTCTTCCGAATTTTTTGCTGTTGCAGGTCATCGGAGCTGTCCACCCCATTTGGTTCTTCAACTTCGGTGAACATGTGAGGTTTAAGAACGCCCTATGTGTGAATATGTAAACCTATTCGTTCAGTACTAGACTGAATTTCGACGCAGATTTCTATCTTATCGTAATTTTTCAGTTATCCTCGTTTCTCACCAGAGATGTTTGAGTAGCTATCTTTGAATTCACAAAGGTTGTGAGGTCATCTAGGGTTTCCTGCATTGTTTGAATAGTGGCTAGCAGCCACTTCAAACCCACTGTCGCTAATCGATTGCAAGACTTGCGACAGTCGTCATGTACCCAGACCTCATAGGCTTACTTACTTCTCAGATAGAATGATATCCTATTATTATGTGCTGGAGATGCGTAGCTTATGACATTGCCGTATGCAGTTTGTTGTTTTTTTTTCAAATTTTAATTAGTGTCGATCTAGTCTTCGACTGCCATAGCCGGTATAATTATCTTCAGATGCATTACTTGTTGGTCATCCCTGAAAATTTGGAGAATCTTTCCTCAAAAAAAAGTACTTGTTTTCTTCTCCTCGATAGCGGGTATATTTTTGCCAATGGAATAAACTTTGAAGAATTTGTTGTTTGCGCAACAGTGGTTTATGCCTGGTCGTTTCTGAGCAGTCTTTTTGCTTATTGGCAGTGACTATACATTTGCGAAATGTTTTTTCAATGTGATTTTTATTTTCAAAACTTATGGTTACGGATATATGAGCTTTGAAGTCATGATGCTTATGTGTTAAATGTATGCTTGCTTCGAGTTTTAAGAACACTGTCAGTCACACCGTTATAAATCAAACGTCAGCCAATTACACAAGTCGTAAATTCTTTGAGCACGAACATTAACTTGTTAAATAAGCTCTCGACAGCTTTTATAGCTAAATATCAAGCATTTGATACGGAAGCTTTTGGCATCGTCAGTTTGTTAGTCCTACGCTATGTTTTCCTTTGATATAATTTTTCAACTGTTGCTTGTGCTGCATGCTCAACCTCTCGAAGGTTGATTTTTTCTTTCTAGATCACGATATTTACCTTCCAAGTTTTGGAAGTTTGTGCAACTCTCACTAGATACTTCACTGCATTAGTTGTATTGTATCTGTTTTAGAAAATTCACCTTTCTAAATGAAAGGATGTCTTCACGCTACATTGATGTTGACTGTTTCTTAGATGAAACAAAGATTTTCATATGGGTATAAGTCTGGGTCGGCTATCTACCGTTGCTTTTCTTCTATATTTTGGTAGGCGCAGGAGTCGATTTGTGTCACTCAAAGTAAATTTGGAGTGCATGTGCGCTTGACATCGTGAAATGTTGATTTATGGTCACTGCGTAGCAACGACTGTTTTTTTTTTTTGGAGGAAAACGGGCGAGTGGCCAGGAACTCCTAATGAACTATCCTCTGTTCGTGTTTGAATTATCTCATTGCTTTGCATTTCTTTCCCATTCGTTGCTTATTTCTTCCTTATGTCAATATAGGCTTCTTTCAGGAGCGCAGTATGAAATTGCACTTAATAAAGGAGCAGGCTGTTCGTTTCATTGCATTCGTAATCCGCGAACCATGGCTGTTTGTACAGTACGTGTTCCTATTCGCCTTGGCATTGGGCATGTTCACTTTAGTGATGCAATATAAAATACAGAAGTCTATCAAAAAGCAAGAAAAGGTATGTATGCGTTTATAACATTTGTCTGTTACGGTTCCTTTTTTGATGAAGCATATGTATTATGTTCGTTTGCAATAGTTGACTCATTTTAACTCCGTGCTATATGCAGATTTTTTAAATACTTCTTGATTTGGATTCTACTGAAGGCTACTGCATGACGAAGGCGCAGAAGCAGTATTAGTTGAGCGGGAGCGAACGCGGCGCACGGCGCATCTACAACGGCACACTCACCGTTGTAGATCCTGCGCCTCATGCGCTCTGCGGCTAATAAAGCCGCTTCGTGCCCAAAGATACGCCTTCGTTTTATAGCAGCGTATACTCACATCATAGTTATGGTACGCGAAGTAATCAGAGAAATGCGTGCGCACAATTGTGCATTTTTTCCATATCAAGGGCACCGTCACCCATATTCTTACTTCCATGTTTTTTGCTGCGGGGCCTTCTCATGTCCCTGATTCCGAATATCAAGTCGAGAATTTGCGAAAACCCCGGCAATCTCAGTTCTGCAGAACCCACAGGGCGAGTTCTCTGGAACGAGATTGATTGGGTACGGGCGGGAAGAACGTCGCGTCCACTCAAAGAGGAGGAGCCAACGTGGCGGATCCGTCATCCGAAGTGGTTTTTGAGGCAATTTTCTCGCTTTGGAAGCAACTTTTGGCAGCGCGAGTTGGGCAAGTATACAGTTTGGGGGCCGGCTACTGTTAGGTAGGTGCCAGAGTAAGCGAATATTTTGTTCAAGTTGGGGTCCCGCGCAGAACTGGCATCACTAATCATTGTGGCACAACGCCAAGTTGGCATTATGCCACAATGATTAGTGATGCCAGTTCTGCGCGGGACCCCAACTTGAACAAAATATTCGCTTACTCTGGCACCTACCTTAGGCATCAAATCTCAACGACCCCATTTTGGGTGGACGGTGCTCTAGGACCTTCATTTTATGAAAATGTTGTGTTTGTTATTGAGCGAACAGTCGAGTCAATCATTATTCCTTGTCTATGTGAGGTGGCTTTAAGAAAATACGATATTTCTGAGTTTCAGAGAAGTGCTTTTTCTTGGTTTTTTCTTCAATCATGACTTGTTTCAGATCCGAAAACAGAAAGAGAAGATTCTACGCAAGCTGCATGGTAGCCGCAGAAAGGCTCTAGATGAGCACGAAAATATGCTAGTCTTGGAGAAGGAAAAGGATAAGGATGCGTAATTTTGACAGATGGTTTCATGGTCCTTCAGCAGAATTCTGGCTTGCGTCATCTACGCCTCCTGCAGAATTTTGCTCTCAGGCTCGTAGATCTTCCCAGAATTTTTTCCTCAGCTAGAGAGTTTCTTAAGAACTAGATTTGTGCGCTGCTTAGTCGATAAAGTAGTAGGCATATTTCCTCTACGCACGCTATGGCAACCATATCACCCGCGAAGCGTTTTGTCAACATCCAGATTCACTTTCATTATTGCGGAGCAGCGCTCATTTAGAACTAAGAATGTAGCTAGAATTTTATGGTTCACACTTGCATATAGTGCGTCCAGTGCTTCAAACATTTCCCGCGTCATTTCTCGCGTTTTGCCGCAGTGTTAAAGCTGAAGGCGAGTAAATATGTGCATCATCTGCGGATGTGAACCATTTGCAAGTGGTTCCTTATCCATATTGTCAACCCTGTGCCTGTTTGTTGGGGATACACCGCCCAACAAGAGCTTTGTCCAGCATATCATTTCTGCTTGAAATCCCATAATCAGACTTAAAATCATTTTTTGTTCGCTGACTCGCTTTTCTTGTATAAATAGAATTATTTTCACTTAATTGAGGTGAGGCTAGAGAGTTCAAGAACGCTTTACACACATTGCCTGAACAAGCCTGAACTGTACCCTTTGGCTCCAGATAGTAAATCATCTTAAATAAAATGGATCCAAATTCGCTTACAGTCAAGCTTGTTCAAACAGTGTGTGCAAATCGTACTCGATTCTCTTGATTTCGGAATATTGTAAGCAGCGTATTTTCTTCACACATCTCCTTGTATCAAATGTACAGTGCATCAGATCGTGATTCGTTGTATAGAAATTTGTTGTTTTTATTGTTTTTTTTTTCAGTGAGATAGTGCAATCCAACACTTGCTCCTTTTGAATGAAACAAATGCCCAAAAAGCTTCTTATGTGTTTATTAACTCACATTTATCAACGTTTGTATTATTTTCTGAGATTTTCTAGATATCTGAGGTACGATCTACGCTAAGAGAGGATTCAAGCAAAAATTTTCATGTAAAATTCTTTCTTCACGATCGAAATCGTGTTCCGAATTAAGTGTTCCGCATTCAGTTGAGATCTTGCGGGCGGGTCTTATGGGAACTTCAAGTCAAAGGCAATAGAACACCGCCTTTACTTAGCTTTATTTACGCGGAGCAAAAATCTACGTCTATCAAAAATCTCAATCATATTAAATCATTCGCGTTGATTTGACTCACATTTTTTCAGTAGCAACCAGTGAATATGGGAACGTTTCATGCAATGTTCTGTCTTCTGTGGAGATTGCATGTCGAGTAGTGCTTGTTATTTTCCGGCTGACGTAGATCGTGCCTTCAGAATGTGATAGAGATGTGAATCTTTACAAGTGCAATAAGGCTTCCTGTATGATCTCCAACTTTCAATTGTGTTCAGACAAATCTGAGTTTGCTCATTTTGGGTGCTAGTTCTGTCATGAATCTAGTTCGACTCAATCTATAGTTGTCATGCTGCTATCAATAAACAATTTTCTTAATTTACATAAACTTGACAGTGTGATTTTTTACGTGAACACCGCGTTTTCTCAGAACAGAAACGAATATACAGTCTGTCCCATTCCCAGTCAAGCCAGAGTTGGCATGGCGGGAATCCGCATCGCTAGGGTTTTGAGCCACGCTTACGGTCTGCTGGTCTGTTCCCTCTTCAATCTCTTTGCTCTCTCTAACAGTGCACATATGCAGCGCAAATCCCTAGCGCTGAGAGCGCGCTAATTCACGCCAACGGTTCGGTTTTATCCCAATTGAAACAGACTGTTGTGTAAAAGATGACGAGATGTAGTGGTTGGATCGACCTCCTCAAAGTACAAGTAGGCGGCTGCATGCTCAAAAGGAATAGCACTGCAGTCCGTCCCAGTCGGGATTGGGTTGGTATGATTGTACAGGGTTGGGGGAAAGTCCTTGAACAATTTTTGATGTCCATTTATGTTCGGCCATTCCACAAAGTTTTTGTATGCTACTTATATGTGTTTGCTTCTTATACTCTTGAGTACAAGCCCTCAAAAAACTGGACTATTAGCTTTTTTTCTACCGGAGATATGCCTTCTGGAATGGAGCGAGCGTTGGTGGAGAAGATGCATGAGGAGAGGATGGCTGACCAGCAAACTGCGCGGGCTCTCCAAATTTTACAGATCAGGGTCTTTTCCAACTTGCGTCGTTTCCAGGATATGAACAGCACCCAGGACTATTGTATGAGTGGTAAATTGGCTACTGCGAACAGTAACAAAATTCTGAAAATTGTTCGCCAACGCCTTCATCGCAATCCTTTGCGAAGCTTGATTGAGCTAGCTTCAGAGCTGTCCATCTCTGGCAGGACAATCTCCGGCATCATAAAAAGGGGCCTTGCGATGAAGCTTTCCAGGGTGCTAAAATTTCATGCTTTTTGGGAGGGCACGAAGCTGGACTGGCTGCGCAGATGCCATCGACTGCTTAAACGTCTCTCCAAGGCACGCCACAGAACGATACTCTTCTCTGACGTCAAAATTTTCACCGACAGGAAAGTTTTTGATAACCAAACAACAGAATCATCACTTAATCGCACCCAGAAGTCAATAGATTGACTCGCAGAAGGAAAGTTGCATCCGGCTTCTGTAATGGTTTGCGCGGAGATCGCTTCCGACAGCAAGATGCAGGCGATTTTTGTGTCCCAGAACATCGAAATGAACACCGCTACACACGTGGAGAGTAGCTTGAAGAAGGGATTGTTGGCCTGGACCAATACCCATTTTGCCAGGAGCGATTGGTGTCCCCAACAGAATAGCGCACCTGTGTTCAAAGCGAAGTTTGTTCAAGCATGGCTCCAAAGCAACATCAAGGAGTGCATTACTCCTGCGGAATGGCCTCCGTATTGGCCGGATCTGAATACCTTCGACTACAGCGTGTGGTCAGTTTCAGCTCTTTAGGCCAAAGCCTGCGCTCACCCACGCATGACTATGGAGTTTCTGCGAAGTACTCTTTAGAAGACGTGGGAAGAAATCGACGTGAAGCACCTCCACCATGGACAGCGTTCCCAAGCGTTTCCAAGCGTGTGTTCGCGTCAAAGGAGGAATCTTCGAATTGTAAAGCCAGTTTTGTGTTGAGAGCAGAGTAGCAGACAGTTGAGTAAACATTACCTATTTATTTCATGTAATAATATTGCCTAGCTTCATCATTACATTAGAAACACCGTGTTCAAAGACTTTCTCCCAACCCTGTAATGACCGAAATTTTTTATTGAACGAAGCAATGAATACTCGGTTTCGAAGATCGAAAGAAATAGATATCGAATGATTTTGGAAGAATAATTTAATGGATAGATACTGATCTTTGACAAAATTATTTGAATGAACATTCAAATCTTGTTGCAGTTCAATCTTCAATCTTTTCAGATAATTGATCAATCTGAAATTGAATCGAACTATGAGTGCGATTATTCACTTTAGTATGTATTGCAAAAATATTCGAATGTCAAAATCTCGATTGGCGCAATAGCTCGAATACAGAATAGATTTCCCGCTTAATACAGCGTGCTTGCACTGCAGACAGAACGCGGTTAAAATTTGCGCGTTAACAACTACCTACTTTAGTTAAAACGACCGCGGAATTTTGTCGAACGAACATCGATTAATCGGCTTTTGGAAAATATTCGAACGAACGATAATTATTCGATCTGTGGTTTTCAGATTATTTGTATTCGAATGCTACTTTTCAAAATTCGAACGAACGAATATTGGAATAAATGGGGTTGGTCGAATATTTGACTATTTGAACAATCGAATAATTACATATGTTCGAACATTCGACTATTCGAATACTTGAATTAGCATAGCTGTCCGAATATTCGACTGTTCGAATAATTCGGATAATCTAGTGGCTCCGTTGCTGGTTTTTTCTTTGTTGTAGTTTTCTGCAAAAAAATCAATCGCTATATTTGATATGGATTTGTAGCTGGAAATATATAATAGCAGGTGGTAAGGATGTCTGAGTTATTGCCGCTTGGTCAGTTACTGAGAAGGATTTTACGCATACATGTATTCAATGTGTTCATTGTCCTTTAAGACGGCTACTAAGCTTTAATAGCCTTGTTAACCGTTTCAAGTCCTCATTTATTTTTTCCCAACGAACTTTCTCCTAAAGCGACAGAATCAACATGGAAAAGCTTTTGGAAGTATAGTTGTTAGTAATTTATTCGTGATGGTCAGCATTGCGTGAGTTTTAAGACTAGAACTGGGAGAGCACGAGTAAGGCTCCCAGTAATAGAATCAGTGAACCTCTGCAGCAGAGGTGGTGCACTGTTGTCTACATAATACTTTTGTGCGTATCCAAATTTAGAAAAAGAAAAGTTATGGAAATATCTGAATATTAGCTGCTTCCAATACTTGCCGGAAATTATCACGCTGAGTTTAGTTTCTGTCGTAAGATCGAATTCTGACAAAATTGTTTTAGCTGTATTGCTGAGGGTTACACTTTTGTTGTAAGGGATCTTCCACATATATTACTCAGATTAAATATAATTGTTCAATTTACACGCCTACTTAACACGTTTCGGACCGCGAAATCGCGCGCAGCGAAAAAGAGTGTTCTTTCAACCGTCAGCCAACGAAGGGACCTTATTTTGAAGACTGTGTGCTACATCTGTAACGACCATGTCGGATAAGCTTCATACCCCAAGTTCTGAGTGAATTCGGAGTGGTGAATTTTGCCACTTGAGAAGCACTTCTGGCTTTCCTGAAAGATAGGAACAAGAACTCAGTTTCTAATAGTATTCAAGAGTATCTATGTTGTGGACGGTACACATCAGTATTGAAAATGTGGTTTTCTCTTTGATATCGAAGCAAAGAAAATTTGCGATGTCGCACGCGTCGTTCGCGTTGTCGCATTTCGTTGCAACTGTTGTTCGATTTGTGCTCATAACTCCTAAACAAAGTCGGCGGCACGACTCTACAGAGTCATTTGAAAAGTAGAAACTTAGGCCCTTGACTTGATAACTTTGGACTAAAAGAAATCCTCCTGTAAACGTCAAGAAGATCCTTCAAGGGAGGGTGCTGCACCATGTGCAGCACCGGTCCGAAACGTGTTAAAGTATTAGGTCGGTCCGAAAGTTTTGTCGGTTTTTGAAACGGCCCGCCTCCCGTACAGTTAAGATAAACAAAAGATGTATCCTATGCAAAATTCTTCCTCTTTCCAGCTGTCATATTCCCAACGTGATTTGTCGGAAGAATGCTGAGATAATCGCTGGGAATTGCAACCGCATGTTTCCACCGTGTCCAACTTTCGCTGATTTTCAAAAATTTTTATATGAGACTTTTAGGGAAGCTTTAATAACCAGAAGGCAGCGCAAACTTTGGCTAACTGCAGCAATTTTTTTCTTTTTTTCAACTGATTTTTAGAGTTTTGCTAGATAATTTTTCAAAGATCATCTAGAGTTTTGAAAAATGTGCATAAGCTGTTATCGCACAAAACACTGCAAAATCGTCAGATATGAGTTTTCAAAAGGCGATTATCACTATTACTACCTCCACAAAGTAAATGAGCGATTATTGCTTCAAAGTATGGAGATTTTGAGGTCAGTGCAAATTCTTGTAATCGATAAATACTGCGATTTTTTCCGCAAATTTCGCATGTCTCCCCAAGAAAAGGCAACCTTTTGAAAGTGGAGAAAAAGCTGCATCATGTACCTGAAAAGGGAGGTCCGTTTAGTCGAAGTGGCCTTTTCACATGGAATTGATACGACTACAAAGACATCAAACGCTGATTCCAAACCTGCCTTCGTTATCTGCCGAGCGTCTTTGGGCGTCGGATTATGAGCGCTTTCTGAGTTGAAAAACTGTATGCATAATTAGCACAAAATTCTCAGAATTGCTTAACTGGTCCAATGTTGATTATCAGAGCACTCCACTTGAACAATCCCTTTTGTCCAAAGCGCTCATACTTAACACTGCTCTATTTGAGCGCTGAAAAGACCGTAAAATTTAATTTTACCTAGATTATGCGTTCATTTTTTGCACCAAGAAAATATTCATAA